AGAATCGGCCCAACGAGCCTGGATTCAGCCCTAACCTCAAAAAACGTGTTTATCATATAACATCCGAATCATCTGTTCCCAGATCCTGAAACTTTTTTGTGTGGCTGTGTTATTATTATTAATCTCAACGGTTGCTCACCTTCCGCCCAACCAATACGAGGCCATAGTCCGCATGACGTTCGGATTTTTTTTCTTTACTGTGCCGAGTTATGGAAGACATACGTTTGATTAATTGGGCTAAAGCACTTGCTAAGCTAAGCACATTGTTCGAAGGCCAATCACAGCGTAAGTTGTTTAAATTAAGGTAAATTTCATGAACAATTTCTACGATCACTGTATTCGTTCAGCTTGTCGTGCAAGAAGAAATGTAAAGAGGAAGACTAAAAGAAACATAGGAGCTACAGCGATTGAGCTGAAAGTATGATGATGTCTCAAAACAACTTAAGGCGGCAAAATACCTACGTACATAGAGATAGATTGGGATGTGGAAAAGGAAGAAAACAAACTAAAGTACATACATACATACATGCTCAAGAAAATTGTGCAAAGAAAGACAAGCGTAGAAGTGGTCACAATAAGTAAATAAATGTGGCAAAGAGACGGAAAAATGGAAAAAAAAAATATACAAATAAATTGCTAATGTAGTACAAATGCGTAAGTTTGCGATAATGCATGTACATACGTAGGTATGGAATGTAAGTATGCACCTATGTGGGTTTGAATGTTGCACATAGTATAGGCGGAAAACAATTTTATTTGCGAGTTTACGCGCGGATTTTGCTCGCAGCACCATGACAATTGCGAATTTTTACATATTTTTTCGCTTTTGTTACTATTATATATGTACATATATATGTATTCTCTACGATTTGATATTTATGTACATCTCATTAAAAAATTTTCCATAAATTGTGCAAAATGTTTTAAATGGTTAATTGACATTCCATTTTTTTTTTTGTTTAGCATTTGCTTAGGACTAACTTGCCTGATATTATTTTAAAATTGTAATTGTCTTTTTGTAGAAAAATGTATAGCCGCACCACATATTGATAAGTTTTGAGATAACTTTTTTTTTGTTATTTAATTTTAGTTTTTTTTTTATTAAAATGTATGTAGTTAATTTTTTAACAAAACCCATGTAAGTCCAAGTTTCAAGCTTTGTGCAATATTTAAAAAAAAATCAACAAACTCGTACAAATTTAAAGCTTTTTAATAGGATTTCTTAGAAAGATTTTGCAGAGTATGCACTTTTGTAGCCTACTGAAAAACAAGTTTCAAATGGCTAAAAATTATCTTTGATTTTAGAGAATTTTTAGCGTACTCTTTATTAAATATAACTGCAGCACATCGGCGATGCATCGAGTTTAAAAGAGTGTTTCACATCGTTCCCTAGATGAATTGTTTACCATGTCCGCTCCAATGTTTCTCAAAGTTGATAGTTGTTTGTTGGATTTCACTGGCCTACTGCCTCCTTTACTTCTATACAACAATATCTTAGACAGAACGCATAAGGAAAGTAATGGAAAATGTTAAATACATTGAACTAATACATCAGTAGCACTACCAATATTTTGACCGCAACTGTACCGTTTACGTACTTGTGTACTGCAAATTTGCACGCAAAATCGTATTTTAAGAACGCACTTAGTTTTATCGACGCGCCAGCTCCTATCAAGAATGCTTGGCAGAGCTTATCACAAATATTTTCTTTTTTTCTTTTTTTGCAATTGTTTTTTTTTTGGGGGAATTCGTCGCAATTATTCGGCAGTGCAGTTGATTTACCACTTATTTCCTCTAAATTATTTTAAGAAATTACTAAAACACAAAGGAAATCCATCCGAGCGATTGACAAACGAGGCTAACATATACATACATAGATTGTATAGAGAAAAAGTTATAGCAAAAGGTACTTGAATAAAAACCACCCCAGTGGAAAAAGGTAATGTCTGGATAGCCCCTATAACCTACGCACGAAAAAATACAAGAATTTCTCCACAGCGATGTCGGACGAAAGTAATGTGTCGCATATTGCTTTACGAAACTATAAATAGAATTAAAAAAAAATAAATAAATAAATCAAAAATAAAACAAGTAATTTTTAAGCAAAAAACAAAACCGACTTCAATTCTCATATAAAAATTTAAGATTATCGTTAATTTCTTCGTGATACAATGCCCGGATTCAACCCAAATTAGTATGGGACCACCTGTGAGGTAAAACCTTTGCTTAAAAAAAGAATTATAGAAATCAGTTAAGGTGGTCCAAAGTTATACGGTAATCGGTAACATACATAAAATAAAATAAATAAAAAATAAAAAATAAATAATATATTCCGACAAATTGATAGCTTTCGTCCTGTTTGTGAACTCGGTTAAAAAGGTAATGCATTTCCATTTTCCCACTGGGATCATTGTATATTTCAAGAAGGATAGAGTACTGTCGTTCCTTCCGGCGGACGATCGTATAACCACAATCCGCATCACAGCCAGATTCTTTAATATCACCGCTCATCAGCACCCACTATATTTATGCAGAAAAGGAACGCACCCGCCTCAATGCATCACACAATTCCCGCTCATTACTGATACGACGAAGAATTTCACGAAACTACAGAAAAAAATATGCCGTCTCAGGGCCACGCGGCGCGATCGGTCGCAACGACCGAAAATTGTACCAGAGAGTTAGACGACCTACGGAGGTTCCAAGAGCAGGGCGAACTACTACAAGGATACCCATGGCGGCCTAGTAATGGATTTCAAGAACGTACTTAGATTATGGAGGAAACACTTTTGCACTATATTGAATGCCTGCAGCACTGAAGTTAGTGGAGAATACGAACCCGAACTCCTAGTCGATGATGATGTATTCAAGTACGACGCATGCAATTTAAGTCTGCTCTGGCCAATCCACAAAAAAGGCGACCCCGCTATTCGCATCCACTACACCGGAACCAGGGGGCTACTCTGTAATGCGATGAGAAAGAGAAATTCGATGCGATACGCAATCGCCACAGGGTATTACTTACGATGTATTTGCCTATCGCATCGCATTTCTCCTTCGCATCGCATTACAGAGTAGCCCCCAGCCTTCTAAGCATAGTTTAGAAAGTTTTATCGGGTATATTGTGTGAAAGACTGAAGCCCACAGTCAACGAACTGATTGCACCTTAGTGTGGTTTTAGACCATGGCAAATCCATCATAGACCAATATTCACAAAAGGCCACATATTGGAAGAGTCGTGAGATCAGGATCTATTTGTCGATGGGAAGTCGCTTTCTAGAGCACGAAAAAAAGTTGTCTGTATGTCGCGATATCTGAATTTGGTATTCCCGCCAAACTAATACACCTGCGTGAAATGGCGTTGAGCAATACCCCCAGCTCCGTTCGAGCCGTTTGATACCAAAAGAGGTTTAGAAAAGGTTTCGGTGACTTCTTTAAACTGGTGTTGGAGAAGATAGTAAGAGCTGCAGAGCTGAACCGGTAAGGCACCATACTTTACAAGAGCATACAATTGCCGTCTTATGCCGACATCGACGTCTTCGGTAACAAAAATGGCTATGTCTGTTCTGCCTTCTCGGAATTAGGTACAGAAGCAAAGCGTGTGGGTCTGGTGGTGAACGAGTATCTCCTGTACACAGAGTGGTGTGCTCTGCAAAAGATGTTCAGCCCCTCTTCTTCGGCAACACAGAAAGGAGAATTCTACTTTATAATCCCTTTACAAATCCAAATTTCCCCTATTTTCAAACAGCGCCAAAGGGGTCCTTGAGGGGTGAGGGGTGACTTTTCATAAAGTGCGGACCATCCTCTTTACTTTACGCGAGGTTCGGGAGCCCACGCCCCATTCCGTTATCAAAAAAACAATCGGAGAATAAGCGTCTCGACACTCACACGTCACTGTTGATAGTTATAAGTTTGAAAACATAGACGATATCGTTTATTTAGGAACTGGCATTAACACCAATAATGTCACTGAGTAGGCAATTTATAAGTAGTCCTCTGTCGTCGTACAAAATCCCCAGTCTATCAGTAACTTATCATGCCCGTGCTGATGTATGTATGTATGTAGAGAGATTCTTCGGAAGATCTACGAGCCTTTGCGCGCTGGTGATAGCTATGAGCTGTATGAGCTTTACAACGATATAGACATAGTGCGGCTTGGTCATGTGGTACGAAAGACGAAAGAAACGCTCCGGCTTTGAAAGACCTCCTCTTTGTTGGCAAGACCAGGTGGAGAAGGACTTAGCTTCACTTGCCATCAGCTAGCGTGATTGGTTGGACTCGGCGGTTCAGCGCCAATCAAGAACAAGAAGAAATTGTTCACAATAAATTACACAGGTCAACAAAAAGAAATACTTCACTATGGTGAGTTCAAATACCCGGCAAACCAGTGTTGCCAACATCTTAACGAAATCTTTGAAGAGTGTCGGAAGTGCGTTGCGATTTCTAAAAAAGAAATCAGAATAAGTATTTGACATGGACTCGTAAATACATTTTTTCACGATTACTTAAAAAAATTCAGCAAGAATTCGAGAAATTATTCAGTTCTTTACCGATTTTCTTTCGAAGTTCCGTAAAAAAAATTTAGGTGTGTACAGTTGATTTTTTATAAAAAAAATCGGCAAAAAACGGAAAGGGAAATAATGACTTCTTTACGAATTCTTTAAGATTTCTCTATTTTTCAAATTGCTCTGAAAGCATGGTGTGCAGGGTGCATGCTTATGTACATATACATATGCCGGAAGCATGGCTGCATACATACATACATATGTACATAGCTGAGCCGTTGAAAAATATTGACAAACCAAAAACCACCAGAGCAAGTTATTTATAAAGAAAGTCGGCATTTACCAAACTTTTGCATGATGAAAAAATCAACAACATTGCTGATACCATATGAATAGCGCACATTGTATGTACATACATGTGCAAAATAACGGAAACAATAAAAAAAAAAACACCGCAATCAAATTTATATAATCCAAAAATATAGTGGAACTTACTTCTTAGTTAATATTTCCCGTATTATTTATTTAATTAAGTATATTAAAATTTTTCGCACAAAAATTAATTGCACACTGTTTTTTCGTGAAGGTTATCTAGCAAGTGCGAGCACACTGTTTATGTTGCAGCCGAAACGTTTTATTGTTGCTGTTGTTATTGTTTTCGATTCGCGCCGAACTGAACTACGAAAGTTTTATTTGTGCCGTTGAGATTTTTTCTACCGATTTCCAACTTATTGTTGTAGCACGCGCGCACGTTTTTTAGTTTTCAATGCAAAAATTAGCGCAACGTGGACCTTTAAAATGTATTCATAAGCGGTTTTATCTGTTTTAGATTTTATTTTTATGTTTTTGTTTTTGTTTTTTTTTTTCTTAATCACAAACACATCAAGAATACGCACTCATATGAATCGAACAACAAAAATGCACTTTATTTCTTGCACTCAGGTTTAGTTTTGCTTTTAGAATTTGCACTTGATAATTTAGCACAATTTTTCGACTTTCATCTATTGGAAAATAAGGTTTTGCCACAAGTAAAAATGCTTCACAATACACAGAAAAATCGCCTTTTGATTAGCTAATTTGGAAAATTTTATAACAAACGACGTCTGGCGAACATTCACGTCGAACATGTGACGAACAACTGATTTACTTACATATGTACGAAGACGTTTACTGTACGAAACCAGCTAGTTTGCCGAAACACAAACCGTTCGCCACTGCCAACCACCGCACGCACGCTGCCAACCCCCGATGCGTTCCACAAACGCCACAAATCATCATCAACAGCGACAGCAGCAGCAAGCTACCAAACAAATTATATTAGCGCAAAGAATATTTACAATAAAAGCAAAATGTCACCATATAAATGTGTACTCATGTAGAGCGAAAGGGGCAGGCATAGAAAGAATAGCAGCAACAAGAAAATCAGCGGTAAAAATTTTGTGAGTAAAGGAATGAACAAAAATCCATGCCATAACCGCTAATGCCAGCTAAAGAGGCACACAAATATCAACACAACAGCTGACGAGAGAAGACAGCAACCAGCTATGTAGGTAGCGAAAGGA